GTGACACATCCCACGTGCTGGCATTCCCTCGTTCTATCCACCAGATCCCACGGGATTTATTTTAGGATCGGCACGATGGAGGCGTGGGTTTCACGAGCGACGGTCGCGAAGCGAGGCCCAGTGAATCCGCGGCCGGCTCGTCAAGCGAGTCGATCGAGGGACGCGCGATGTCTCAACTTCGATAATCATCGATTCGATCGAACGATCGAACGAACGAACGAACTTTCACGTGACTTATTCTCGCGTCTTGTTTCGTCTTCGGTTTCGTGGACGATTTTCGATTCTTTCCACAGAATTGGTTTGAATTTGTTAGGCTTTAAGGTTAGGTTTTAAGATTTGTTCGTCTTTTGGCAAAGAGAAATGGTTTATGGAAATTATATTATATTTTCTCGTGAATTTTTGATTTAGTTTTCGGTAAGGAGAATTTGCAAAAAGAAAAGTTTGATAAGTCGTGCTTTGAAATTTCTTTTTAAAGAGATTGCTCGAAGATATTTTTACTTTGCATTAAGTTTTTTTTCTTTTGGTTGCAGTATGGAGGAAATTTGATAAGTTGTATTTTGTCATTTTTAAATTGTCGAAGTTTGTGTATCTTGAACCCTATCGAGTTTTTTTTTCTTTTTTTTGAGTTTGATGTATTAAAGCACTTGTTTTTATGATGTTAAATAAAGATGAAAGTTGTCAAAGCTTCCTCCAGACTAGAAGATCTTCGTGTTCTATTTAATAGGTGTCTGATACGGTCTCTCTGGTCGTGAAGTAGGTCAGAATTTCACGTTTCAACGTTTCTAGGTCTATCTATTCTCGAATTATTCTAAATATGGCATAGCGAAATGCTCCTTGGGGCTAGTGGAAATGAAAAAGTAGTTGACAATCCGTTCCTTCCTGTCGTATTTCTTCAAACCGTTGAATAATATACACGCAATAACGATTGACACGGTTCCCGTTATATGTATTGTAAAATCTGTATTCACAGACGAGAAACATATTTTAGGTTACCTTTGTTCTTGGCAATGAACGTGTTGACGATCGTTTCCCTATTCTTATCAAAAATTTCATTCCAATAAATAAAACGTACTTAAACAATCTTTTACCATATGATAAAAAATATGATACAATTCTAGAAATTTACATTCGAATAAAAACATTCTCTCTCTATTTCCATCCTATTTCGTTCAACAAAAATTTTATAATTTGACAAATAAGCCTCGTTTTTTCTAGAATCTTCAAGAATATATCAACATATACATCATTATCTAAATTAATTTCGTAACACTCTGGAATATTCCTATTCCTCTCCAAAACTAATCTACCATCTTTTCTCATCGACAACTCCTCTGTCTCATCGGTGACGTTCACCTGGCCGTTTGTCAAGAATCGACGAGCGTATTGGCCCAAGTTTTTCATTTCGACCAACCACATCCTCCAAGATATTTCGAGACGCGTGTCGCTCTCGACGGAAACCGGGACACCTCCTTCTTCATCTTCCTCTTTACCAGTTCAAACTGCCACCGATTCGGTGCACGAGAAGGGAACAGTTTCTGAAAAATTCTTCCCTCCCCCACCCATCTTCGTTTATTGATCTTCCACCAAGATCTATAAGCCTCCTGTTTTGTTCCTCCCGTAATATTTGGTTAACGAATCGAGGCTTCCATTCCTGGAACGCGTGGGCAGGGATGGACAAGAATTTTAACGATCGAGGTTAAGAATAAATCAAACTCAATTTATCGTTTCGAAGATTGATCGAGATTGCATAAACAATTATTCGAGCATTTAAAAAAGAAAATAATTGTTAATTAAATTAACGTCGTGAAAATAAGTAGATGATTACATTTCTATCTGAATATTAACTTAATTCCAGATTATTTAACCAATTGTTCAACCTGTCCAATTCTGTGGATGGCATTGAGATAGAGAGAGAGAGGGAAGGAATAGAAACTTTTGGTTGGGCAGCCCCGCTGGAAAAATCTCGATGGCGAGCGCGATTTCACGCGCGATTATTTATAACCGGGTGCTTGTAAACACGCGTACTTTGGCGTCCGCGGCGAACCGCCCGCCATTTCTTCGCCAGTTACCGATGCACAAACGAACGGTGAACGTTGCTCCACCGTTTCTTCGCCAGACGTCTATTTCGACGGCACGGTCAGTTCGATTCGAGTCGTGATCGAAATTCTTCCTCCTCGAATTCTCGTAGAAAGAATCGTAGCTGCCTTTCGTTCGTCTCGACGAGTGGTCTCGTATTTCGTTAGTGATGTAGTGGAAAAATTGACGGAGAAGTGAATCGTGTCGTGCGGGATTAGAAAATAAGTTCGTCATACGAAGAATATCCATTACTTTTTTTTTATTCTTCTATTGAATTTCGAATTTAAGGGGAGGAGGAAAAAGAAGTAATAAAACTAGAATCGAGGAGAATAAACTTGGTTCCTCCTCTCCAAGAAAAGAAGAATTGTTTCCTTGAATCGGAAAGAAATTGTTGAACGGGAATTTATTAGAAAAGGGAGAGCTCGCTAGATACATTTTTTCCCCGTCATGCTCCGCCATTAGACCGTGGCACCGTCCGGCCCACATTATTCTCACGTAGCAGTCGCGTTACCCGTTTTTTCAAGAGGCGACAAGCATCTCTCCATACGTTTCGAAGCTCGTGTCGCCCCTCGGTGCGTCGACACGTCGGTGGAGAAAAGAACTGGGCGGGCGGATCCGAAGCGAATGCTAAACGCAAACAGACGGAAGACAGGAGGGGAGAGGGAGATGGTACGAGACCGTTTCGGGAAAAGATCCCAAAGTCAGGCTCGATTCTGACAGATTGCCAAGCGTCTGAGGTCGCTGGTTACGTAAGAGACGTTAACTCGTTCGATTCGAACAATAATAATCCACGATCGCGGAGCGGATATCACGCTGGCTCTGTCTGCAAGCGATTCGAGCAAATTGGATAAGCGTGGAACGATGATTCGATTCTTTTGATTCTTCGTCGGTCGATCGATGATTAATCGTGATGGGATTAGGTAAACTTGCTGGCATGATTTTTCTGAAACGGTGAAGTTTTATTGTTTGTTCGTTTATTTGTTTATTTTCTTTTTCTTCGAAAATACATTTTTTCCTTCGACGTTGGAAACGTCTATTTTAACGTGATTCGAAGATAAAAAGGGGGAAAGCGAAATGAGAATATTTGGATATTTTTTGTCGATGAGTTGAGGAAACATTTTTGCTTCAAGTGAAAATATTTTCTCGTTTTATATTTGAAAGTTTGGATTTATTTCAAGGTGATTTAAAGCAAAAGGGAAGTGGAGAAAGAAGCGAGTAAGAATATTTTTCTCTGAGTGAATTGGAAACTTTGATTTTTATAAAATGGGAAAATAAACGTTTGATTGTAAAGTAATTTGAAAGTGAAAAATTGGAAAAGTGAATATTGGAATACGTTTATTGAAAATTGCGAAATAAATGTTTTTGTAATTTAAAAATAAACGGAGATATGTATATTTTAAAGTGGCCAATAAAACGAACGACTTGATATTAAATTAATTTTTAAGTGAGAAAAGAAATAAAATGAATAGTAAAGTGAATGAGGTTCGATTATTCGAGAGGATTGACTAACAATTTTGAAATTTTCATGGCTACAAATAAACGTGTTAACATCGTACGAAAACAAAACATTTTCTTAATATATTTTTCGCTATTCCCAAATATTTACGTTTCACGGTGGAAAGAAATAACTTTCTAAATGAATATCTCAATGTTGATATTCGAGTTATTGGAAGTACCTTTGCCTCTTTCACGCGTATTTTCAAATCAAAGCTCGCGTTTGAGCAAAAGTGGCGAAGAAAATTCTTTCATCATCCTAAAGTTCCACTGTCTCCACTGATCGACACGAAGTTTAAACCGTTCAAAATCGCGTTTTACTTACTTACTCAAAATTCAGAATCATCGCATATACCTTTGTACAAATACAACCAAGAAAAGTATATTTTGTCGAAATACTCGCATTCCTCCCAAATTATTTCCAAGAAGAAAATCAAGAAAACAAAATTTATATACACAAAATAACATAACATCAAAACCCAATCAAAACCTCGACCAAAATCGCACAATCGATAAAAACTAAAGTTTCGATGATCACCACCCTTTTTAAAAATCAACCACGTACAAACGCTCATTCCCAAGTGAATCCAAAAAAACCGAACTTTCCGTCGAAATCGTGAAGAATCTCTCCAAAAAAAAAAAGAAAAAAAGAAAAAGAAACATGAAGAACGGTCACCCGATCATAACAGCGGCGTCGTCGAGCCTGACCAATCCGGATTCCTGTTCGTCCTCCAACGAGCCCTCATCGGAGCCGATCATCAGACTGAAGCTGGACAAGCCGCTCGACTGGGAGTGGGAGCTGACCACGTCCGCGGACACGCTTCCTGTGATCCAGCTGCTGGACAAGAACGGCCGCCTCCTGGTCGAGACGAGTGGGCGCACGGCCCAGCGAGCCAGGGGCTCGTTTCGAGAGGGGCTCAAGTCGCGCGAGGAGTTCCTCCCCAGATCGGCCACGCTTTCTTCCTCCTCCTCCTCCTCCTCCGTGGCCAGCCCCTGTCCCCAAGGGAACAGGAACGTGGACGGGTTCAGCAGCAAGTTCGGCACGCTGCAGTTCGGTTACAAGCCTAGGAAATCGAGGAGCGAGATATCGGTGAGGGAGAGGAGGAAGAGGAGGAAGGGTAGATCGGAGGAGGGGAAGAAGTATTCGATGGGCGATTACCTGAGGCAACAGATCATAGACGATCTTGGAAGGGAGGGCGCGAAGAGCGCCGAGGAGATCGCGAGAGAGAGATGCAGGAAGGTGAAGGCTTACCTGAGGAGTCGCAGCGAGACGCTGGTCCACGAGGAGCCCGCCGACAACGAGGGGACGACACGAGGCGGGAAAATCGTGACGAGTGAAGCCATCGAGGAGGAGGAGGACGCTAGATCGCCCCTCCGACTGGCCGATCGAATTTTAAAACCGGAGGGGGCTGGTAAAGAAAGGAAAGGAGAGGAGCTGGAGAGGGTAAGATCGTTCCTTCGAAGGAAGATACAGCAGAGGATGGAGCTGGAACGATCCGTTGGGACGAATCTAGCGGGATGGACGCGAGGCGTCGATGATGGCATTGAGAAGAGTAACTCGTGTTACGGCGAGGCGGAGGAGCCGGGTTATCGCACTCGAAAGGCGAGGAGCGAGGCGAGCGTCATCAGGTTCGATCCGGAAATCGTTGAGAAGGATAGGCGGAAAGGGGGGAGGCAGGTGGAGAGGTGGTCGAGAGGCGACAACGGGTCTCGTTGCAGGCAGGATTCGTCCGGGCAAAAAGCGTACAGGCGTTCGAGGAGCGAGACGATCCTCGAGGGAACGACGACGGGTCAGGGGGCCGAGAAACGGAAGCTGTACCGAAAGACGAGGAGCGACGCGTTGGTGGCGGGCCAGATGGGTGGAGGAGGCGCTAGGAGGAGACAGGACACCGTGGACGAGACCTGGCGCGAGTACAAGGAGAGGAAGAGGCACGAGAGGTCGCAGAGGCGGGACACGGAGGAAGAGGATTCTGGGCGGAACGACGTTCGAGCCGATCTGTGCACTTTCGACGATTGCAAGATCTGTCAGAGTTTGAAGAATTGCGCGAGTCCTGCGCGGCAAATGGAGAAAGAAATGAGAAATCGGAGGAGCGTTGGCGAGGACGAGGGAACAATAGGGGATCGCGATGATTGTTCCGAGGTTGTGATTTCTCCGAACGATTCCGCGAACGAGAGGCCGGCGAGCAGCAGTCGTGTTCGGGAGAAGTATCTGGTCGACAACGAGGTCGATGCCTCCCCGAAGAATCACGTACTCGTCAAGGTTCGAGCGAAGAATCGCGAGGCTGACTCGTCTAACGTGAATTCGCCTGATTGCGGTTACAATACGATTCCTAAGAAGGCTTTTAACGATTACAAGGAATTGTACGCGAGATCGAACGTGAAGAAGAGCGACACGTTTAAGATCGTGGATGGAAGCGAGGGGATCGAGGAAGGTGTTGAGGAGGAGGAGGAGGAGGAAGGGGATGGATCGATCGAGAGTTTCGATTATTCGAACGGCGAGGGTGTGTTGATGAACAAGTCGAACGAGGATATCGCGAGGGATTACTTTAAAAGGGTGTACGAGTTGTTGAGGAAACGGCAGAGGGAGGCGAGGAGGGTCGCGGAGAAGCAGGAAGTGGCGGGCCGCGATGATTCGTCGTCGTCTAATTACGCGGAGAAGGTGGAAAAGAGGAGACCGCGGCGAAAGAAAAAGGAACGGGGCACGCAAGGTAAGAAACGAGAACTTTGATGTTTTGTTCCTCTGCTTTTGGAGTGTAAACGTGCCTTCTTTCGACGTAGTGGAAGTAATTAATAGGTTTCTTTCTCATTTTCCCCCGTCCAAGGAACTCGTCTAATTGCGAAATTACGCGATGAAATTGACGAGTAATAATTAACACGTAATCAATTCTTTCGTATAATATTTCGCATAAACGTTGCATCGACGATATATTATTAATTCTACGTATCGTTTCTCTTCAAGATATTGCTTTCTTTTTATCGCATGCAATTATCACGGAATAACGAATAATTGCACGTATCTATTCGATATTAGAATCATATTTTATAATATCAATTAATAATTTCATCGACAATCTAGAAAACTGCGTCTTCGATTAATTGCGCAAGTTAATTGAAAAGGAAACACAGTCGTTCAAAGAAACGGCATCACTTTGTCATCGAAACGCATTTCTCTTTAATTATACGAAGAGAGGATACAAAAGATTTCTCGCCCCATCGTCAAAATATTTTTAATCGTTAACAGAGACGTTTTCCATTATTTTCTTAATGGGAAAACTTTAAGCAACTCTCGCCTCGCTTTTCAACTTGTTCTTCTTTTATTTACGCGACGCAACCTTCCCGGAATATACGCGTAATATCCGAGAAATATATTCACCGGTGCATTACGACGAAACTTTCGTGTTATCGAAGCTTGTTAAACTTGTTATACGCACATTTTATCTTGAACAATGTCGTCACGAGGTTGAGAATGGACGCGGGAGAATTTTAGGGAAGGAAAATAAGAGCTGAAATAAACTGAAATAAACGCTGGCTTCAATCGATGGCTCCCTCGCGTGTTCTTGCGGGTGGCAAATGCTGTAAATCCTTCTGGAATTCGCTTGGGATAATCTGATGCGAACTGTGTTCGAGGTGGAATTAAGATTTCTTTTTCTTTCTTTTTTTTTTTTTTTTGTAGAATAGAAAAATAGAATAGAAAAGAAGAATAGAAAGAACGATTGAAGTAAGTTTCGGTGATGTGAAAATTTGAAATTCCGATCTCTGATTCAAATGATGGAGAGTATCGGTTTACTCTCGTTCGACGATTTGTCGAGTAATAATATTAATAAATGAACGATTCACGAGTTTACGTTGTATTATATACGGTGAGGGAAGAATTTCAGTATTTGACGATATCTGAAATAGCTCGATGGGATTGCATTTGATTGAATTAAAAGTCATCGTTCGAATTCATAAGGAATAACCTGAACTTTATAAGATATTCGTAATAGAGATTTTATAAAATCATTGCTATTCGTATTCAATTAAAGATATTAATTACGAAGTTACAACTTGATTAAATCTTCTGAGATTCAAGAATCGTGGTTGAATTATCATTTTATGAAATTAATCAAAGAAATGTACGTTAAAATATAATTTAAATAATTTAATAATTCGTTCGAAACAAGAAAAGAAGAAATAAGAGAATTTTCTCAAGATCTTCTATCGATTTATTCGGGAAAATAATTATGAAATTTTGAATAATAAAGAACGAGCAGGTACGATTGAAAACTTGGTCACGTCCATGTAGTTAGATATAGCGGGTGTTCAATTCTCATCGGAAATTGGATTACGCGCTCTTTGAAGCTTTTAGCGATTTCTCGAGCCGAGTATTTCAACCAAATGCCCAACGAAATAAAGGTCGGATTAAAGTGGCTTTTAAACGCTTGCTGACATTTCAGCTATCGTTCGATAACGTCGCAAACGAATTTGCAATCCGGGAATAAACCGTATAAGTCGGTGACTAATCAACGATACTTCGATTAATTCGATGGAAAGTAGCGCGATTAAAATTGTATCGTTTCGAGGCGAGATGAAAATTCGTTTCTGGAGGGGAGGGGAGGGGAAAAAAAAAAAAAAAGAATGAACTTTTAATCATTTTAAAAAACTCGAAACAATTTTAGAAAAACATTTTTTTACGAATTATTGGTTAAACAATTTCGAATTGTATTGGAAAAATATTGTTGCCAAATATTTATCTTCTTCCAGTTATCACGTACGAGTTATTAATAGATTAAAAAAAAAAAAAAAAAAGAATTGTGTACAAAATACGATAATAAAAATATGACGAAATTTAATTCTGAAATTTAATCGATAAATTGATCGATGTCTACGATATTCGAAACGACGTTCGAATATTATTTACATAATTTTTATTAACTTACATAATTATCAAAATTTAATTCTGAAATTTAACGTTTAAATTGATCGTTTACGATAGTCGAAAGGATATTCGAATACTATTTACATAATTTTTATTAATTTTTGCATAATTATCATTTTCTTTCCACAAGTCTGACGTATTTTTTTTTTTTTTTTTTTTACTACAAATCTATATTAAATTCGTACAATCCTTCGTTAGGACACGCTATGAATTCAAATAATGGCTTTTTAGTCTGCAAATAGGCGCATAAAACAAAACTGCTGTGCATGCACTATTCTCCTTTGTTGAATAACCGTTTGTGAGCACGAAACGCAATCACGATAAGTTTCACTACGTGCGCACTATTACTTCATGATGAATGTGTATTATTTTTGGCGCTAACTGAACGTTAATCTCGTAGTAGTAATTAATAAACGGCATTTTTTTTTTTTTTGAAAAAGGAAGGTCTTGCGCGAAAAGGAAACGAAACGCGCTTTCAGACACGAAAATAAAATTCTTCGAGAAAATATTTGAAGTTAAATGAATTGGAAGAATTCAATTATCTCGCTAATATAATTCTTATAAATATTCCCAGCGTGTTTTAAATTCTCTTAATCCTTTGTTGTAAAATTTAATCAAGAGAATCAATATTTAATAATTTTCGAAATTCTATGATTCATCCGAATTACAAACCCACCAGATATCGTTATAAAACAAAGGAATTAAAAATTGAAAATCCTAACGGATTAACAAATAATTGTCTTGATAAATTATCATCGCGTTAAGATCATATTAGATATACGTGTTAACAACAAGTTAATATACATTCCACGATCGAGCCAATATTTCTATTTTAAGCAAATCCTTTTCAAAAATAATTTTCAAAAGTCATTTTACATTATTTAATAAACCATCAAATTAAAATACATTCTCGACAAATTTACGAAAAAAAATATTCGCGTCGAAGGGATATTGGACTTGTTATTACCTAGAGTAAAATTGTCCCATGTGTCTTTTTTTTTTTTTTTCTTAACAGAGGAACAGAGATATAGCCTGACCCAATTGCAAGACTCGTATTGCACGCTTGCACCCATATATTTTCTCTTTCTCCCCTTTCACGATCTCTCTCATTCAATTTAGACAAACAACACGAGTATTTCCATAATATTCCCGTTCATTCAAAATTTTGAACACCGTATTATCGAACTCAACTCGAATATGTATTTGCCACGTCTCATTTATATGTACCACCACCCTCATTCGTATCCGCTACCCTCATTTGAACGCACGAAACATGCGATTTCAAAGAAAATCCGTGTCGCCCGCATCGATCAACTTAACCACCGCGAATTTAATTATCCACCTCGTTGTCGAGCGTACACTCGAAGGACTTCACCAGGAGTGAATGTCCATATGGGGCAAATATTTAATAATCCACTTTTGGCGGGAAGCAGTGATGGGATCAAGTATAAGGCAAATAAGTGTTCGAATGTTGATCGATTAAATTGTATCTTTGCAAGTATTTTGAAAAATAGTATAAGTTGAATAATAGTAATAGTTGATCGATGATTCTCTGTTTATTGAAAGTAATTATCTTGGATCTATTTTTAATTAACTTGGAAACTTTAAAGGATCAAACAAGGTTCGTTCAAATATTTTTTTTTTTTTGCAATATTGTCGGGTTGTTGATGGAATTAATTATTTATTTTTTACTTGAAATTCGTATCGACGACAATCATATTAAGTTAGTTAGTCAATTTGAAGAAGAAAACATTATTGTTTTTTTTTTTTTATATTCCATATGTTACACTATGCAAGCAACCACTGTTTAATGATTTTAATTGCAAATATCGTATCAATAATGTTAAAACCTTCCTATAATTAAATTGGGCTCAGATCTTTAAGTTAAACTTGCATTTAATTGCAAGAAAACAATTATTGCGAGATAGAGTCGGAAGAATTTGATTTGGAGAAAAGGGGGAGATAATTTTGATGAGAAGTCGTCTCTTTTGGCTGGAAGGAGAGTCACAGTTGGTGACAGGCTTTCAGCTAAAAAGATTAGTGGCGCGCCTTCGATCAGGAAGTCTCGTGAAAATCAGCTGCAAAAGCTCTGCCGCGAATCTCTCTCTGATCCCACTTTTTCTCTTTCTTCCTCACTTGACTTTGCTCTTGTTTTCCGTCCTTTTTGCCAGGGATGATCGTCAACCACTTCTTGAAAATCTTTCAGGAAGGCCGAGATAATTGTACACTGTCTTCTTTCTCGACAAAGTTTCACACGAAACTGGGCCACTACAACCGATCCTTGAGAACAACGAGATTTTGTTTTGGCTCGACTGACTTTTTTCCCCACTTTTGACAATCGAAAATTGGTGACAGATTTTTATCGAGGCGGGTTCAAAAGTTTGAAACGAGAACGTGGAACGTGTGGAAAAATATATACGCAGAATAACTTTTCCATAAAAGTAATAAAAATCGTATGAAAACTGAAAGTTAAAGCGTCGTGACTTCTTTAATTCTTGTGAAAAAATAATATAAATTAAAGATTCGATAAAAAAAAAAAAGAAAGAAAGAAAAAACCACGTTTTTAATCATCTATTAATCAAGTTCACGGGCGTTAGGGAAGATAGATTATGATGATCCCTTAAATATTCACTGGTTTCAAAGGACAGAGTCGCGCTCGATTCTCGAAAGCAAAATGAAACTCTTTTGATCCGCCTTGAAAGTGTCCGGGAATTAGTGGGAAGATCGTATTTTAGTGGTGACTACTATCAGATAAAGGAAGGATTACACAGGATTGGTGTAGTATGCGCA